GCTCCAAAATGGTTTGAAAATGCATCTTGTTGAAATGCATCAAAATCCTTTGAAAATGCATTATCTCAAAATCTGAGTGCAGGATGCAATCTGAGCCACACGATGCATCAGATCCAAAGGCTAGATTTTATTCTTATTTTTTTCACCAATGTGCATTTTCACCTGAACCGGACCCTATATATGAGGAATAAATAAGTTGGATGAAGAAGAAATAATTTCTGCTGTATGGGGTGAGTCTTTGTTTGGAGAAGTAGATGTGTACACTGCCGATAGAGAGATAAACGTGTTGATTAATGCACTACTTATATATGATTATGCAATACAGGATACACAAAAAAGCGAAATAAAGTAACATATATGAATATATAAGCACAGAAGGTCTGCAGCATCATGAAGCATGAATTCATGAAGTGGTTGAAATTGACCAAAAAAATAATGAAAAGAAACCACAAACGTACGAACAACATGATTATGCAATACAGGACACGGAACAGTACTCCAAAAAAACTTACAAATAGTTGGAAAAGGATAGCAGAAGCAATCATGAAATCAAACCCGTGGATCCTATTTGATGCAGTAACCATACATGAAGGTGCAATACAGATTGCATAGAATGCGTAATAGAAATAAAATATAAAGCTTAGGGTGTACAAAATCGTGAAGAACACTTTCATGAAGCAGTGAGAATTGACGGGGAATAAATGAAAAGGAGAACAACAAAAAGCAAAATTCTGAACAATACAAATGTTCACATGTAATTTCACTGCGATTGTAGAAGCATTCATGAACTCAAAACAAATGTTTACATGAATCCAACGAAGTCAAGCATGGGTGCAAAATTTCCAGACGACATTTACATAATTCATAACAAAACAAAAACAAAAAAAATAAAACAAACCTGGAACCATGATAAAGAATCGATCAAGCAGGTTGAATACCAAAGTCGGACGATTGAGAGGTTTGTAAAAGTAAGAAGTTGATAAATAAGGGAATTCATATCTGCGCAACCGATATGGAGGAAATGGGGAAAGTGAACCCAATCGTGAGCGAGAAATCAGGGATAAGGATGTTTCACGATGATTAGCGTTTATCACTGTGACCGTAAAAGGACCCCTATGCCCTGGCGATCAGATTAAGATCTGATTAGATCGGAGGGTTAATATTGATTCTTATTTCTTTCATTAGATCTCTTTCTCACCGGAACCAAACTCTATATATATATATATACATATATATATATATATATACATACATACATATATATATATATATATATATATATACATATATATCATTATATATAATATTTAAGAGTTAACCTCCTAGAATGTTGACATGTGGCATCGCTTTTTTTAACAAGTCAGCAGTCCATGTGGCATAAGTATACAGAATAATTTGTGTACCAATTACACGGACTTTACATATATGATCTGTATATTTATTATTTGCCCTTATATGGTTGTATTTGGCATATGACTTTATTATTATTATTATTATTATTATTATTATTATTATTATTATTATATTTTGAACTATAATGAATAAAATAAGTGTATAAAATGTGTGAACCACATTTTTTTAAAGAATGAAAAGTGTAAACCATTAAAGTAGTACTCCGTATATGGAAATTTAAGGGTGAAAATGATGTGAAAAAAAGGAGAGAGAGATAGCTAGGAATGAGTAAAGATATTTTAATTGTGCACTCATGGAACATAAATGATATTATTGAATACTTCAAATCCAATGTTTTCAAATAAATGACGTTTAACATACATACAAATATGATTATTTTTCGCCAAATAGCACCAGTACCTCTCGTGGTTTGAGAAATATGTATCAATACCCCATCTGTTTTCAAGACTTATTTCTAAAGTATTCATGGTTTTAAAACGTTGCCCCCAAACCCATTTTGATCATTTTTTGCCCATTTCCCGGCAAAAGGGGGGGGGGGGGGG